CCGCTGTGCGAGCCGGTCCCTCAGCCCTGACCTCATGCGGGCGGTGACGGCTTTGTGCCGTGTCAGCCGGGGCGCGTTGACGTTTCGCTTTTGTTCGAGTCCTCGGTGGCTCTTGAACCAGTCGGAAAAAGGCTCTTCGCTCGTTTCCTCTCTGTGATTGCTGCGTTTCGCTAAATTTCAGCCACTTAAAACCATCTCAGCAAGCTCAGGGCTCTGATTCCTTGCCGCTGCTTTGGGGAATGGAAGGACAGATCTCCCCTGTGGCTCTGCATCCTGGCAGCAGGTTGGAGCTCCATGAGCTTTGTCTTTCCATGTCCCCTCAGCCTCCTCGTAGACACATTTTGGTCATTGCCCTCGCTGGGAACTGTCGGGAAACCTTTCTCAGAGGTTTTATTGTAGTAAAACCTCTCATAGAAGAAAGACCGTGCCTCTTGTTGGTTTTGCAATTATTGTGTGTTGTTCTGAGTGGATCTTTAGCTGAGGCACCTTTCAGTATTTCCTATATGTGAAAAGAACCACAAAGAACAAACGTGGCATTTTCCATAAAGGTAACCAAGCGTAATGACCACAACGTTTGGATTTGGCGGCTCTTTTCAAGTTATGGAATATGGTCCCAGCTTTTCTACATCTCTTATGGAGTGAGAAACAAAGGTTTCAGGGCTGTGTTCACGCAGGCCTGGGAGTGCCCGCAGCGCGGCTCCGGGTGTTTGCCACGGATTCTAAGTATCCTCGGAAACTTCCCCTGCTCCGGGAGGAAATGTGCTGCGGTAACACTGTGTCCGGCTCTGCTGGGAGAGGCAGGATCTCAACACGGGGGGCTGCAGCTGAGAAATGACATTTGTTAGTGTTCTGAGCCCAAGGAAGGGTCTTCTGTTAGGCATTGGATTTGGGCTGGGAATCTCCCAGCAGTGCTCTCCAGCCACTCTCTTTGGAAGGCCTGTCCTTCTGTAGCACTTGGAGGAAGGAGTTGTTTACAGCAGGCTTCCAGGTGATGGAGTAATTTTACATCTTTCTAGTAAAAACATAGATGCTTCTCTAACATAAGAAGCTACTGTGAGTAGAGAAGCCAAAGAATTCCAGGTCCTTGTGCATCTGGAAGTGTTGGTGTTTCCATTTTTCAGTGGCTTAAATATTTGAAAATACAGGTTGTGCAGGTAAATTCTGCTGAAGAGCTGTAATGAAATTCTCTGTGCTGCCTGATCATGACAACAGTTCCTGCCTTGGTGGGAGATGTGGAATGTTTCAACACAACAACTAAACCTTAAATCGGCAGTTTATTTTGATTTTCTAGTACAACAGCAGTTGCTTTTGCATGGAAGCTGGAGTTGCAACCCAACTATACAGACTCACTAAATTTTATAAGATTTGCAGTGGCAAAGGCTTTGCTGCTGAAGGGATTGAAGAGTCAATGTGGCTGTAACAGTTTGCATTGAGAATGGTGAAATTTTATAGGTCACTGGAGATCCTCTGAAGGGCAGAAGGAGTGATGAGGGTGTCTTTCAAAATCCTGTGGTCTCTGTTGAGAAATGCAAAGCTTTTTGCATTTTTTGGTGCAGGGATGGTGTGAGGAGGCCTGCTGGTGTGTAGGGCACTGAGCAGCAGCACTTGTCCCTCGGTGCTGCAAAAACTGCCTTCAAGCACAAGCTTTTTCCTTCATGCACTGCTGGAGCAGAAGGAATGAGAAAGAGTGGAGGGCTGGGAACAGGTGAGGGCCGGCAGTGGAAGGAGAAATAACCCCAGATGATGCCAAGCTGAGGCAGAAGGGAAGAAGCTTCATCAGGTGAGGTGTTTTCCATCTCCAGGCGAGTCTCTCCATTTCCACCAGCCAGACAAGAAAGTCACCTTTGCTTTACTGGAGCCGTGGATATTTTGTATTTTGTCTTGTCACTGTTGCAGACTCTGCTGTCCCCTCCAGAGCAGGTTGCTGATGCTCTTCAGCAGGAGCCACCCATTAACTGCAGATAATTGAATGTTTCAGCCTCGGATCCAGCAGGTTCCTGCTGGAGAGCTGGAGGTTTAGCTCATGAGGATGGAGATAACTTAGATTGTCCTGTGCCCTGGCCAATTAGAGTGATGCTGCTAGAGTTTAAAGTCAATCTAAGCTTTGGGTTATGCACGCTGGTAGTGGAAGTTTTCCAGAGGTCCAGGAGCTGGGGATTTTTCTCAGTCAATTGAAAAATGATTTTCCATCATTTTCCATCCAGTGGAACAGCATCCCACCTGCTGATGGCACATCAAAAATTGCTGCTGTAGTAATCAGAACTAGGAATAAGTATGGAATTGGTCACATATATGTGAGAGCCCTGAGGCTGTAACTCAGTAAATAACTCTTCTTTATGCATTTGGGGGAAAAGAAAGGCAACCAGTGTGTGACAGTGCTGTTGGTTTGGGGCTGGGGTGAGGGATGGAGACACCTGTGGGACTCCACAGCTCATGAGAGCCATCATCTCCTCAGACCTGAGACCAGCTGCCTGCTTCTCCAGCTGCAGTGAGTGCCCTGAAGCACAGCCCTACACAGCTTTGGATTTGATTGGTATGAAAAATAGAAAATTACAGGAGATGAATGGTACCTTGTCTAAATTAACTTATATTAAACCAATAGTTTGGGACAGGAAGTTGCTTATGCTCCATTGCATACATGGGACCTGAAGCTTTAGGTCTGGATGAGAGGGATCTAGTTATTCCACCAAAAGATGCATGCTATTCAATTCTCCAAGTCCTATGCAAATCATTTGAATTTTATTATTTTATTGTTTTGAAAATTAAACCTGCCAGGACACACAGCTGCTGTAAGATTGTGTTTTTCATTGTGGTTTCTGTGTGGTGCTCACAGAGAGTGAGTTAAGCCTCTGGTCTGCATTTACAGAATCCCAGAATGGTTTGGGTTGGGGGAGACCTTGAACACTGCCTCATTCCTATCCCCTGCCATGCATGGCAAAGTGTTTCTTTGAAGGGTTTTTTGGGAGTGCTGTTCTCATCCCTACAAGAATGCATTGCTCCCCAATTCTGTTGCATCCACATTTTACCAGAAGGTCCTAAACTGTTTGTGTGGTTCTTAATGGCAGTAGTGACAATAAATAACACCTGAAAATCAATTTTTCTAAAAGCCAAGAGCAGCGCAAAATAAGCTGCAAGTTTTTATACAGTCAGGAAACTCTCCGAATAATCTTGATTTTAACCAAAGGTGTACCTACTTCTGTTATATGAAGATTAATTTTTTGGTCAGGGAAAAGAGTCTCCTTGATATTGGGTGTCTCCTATCAAATATTTACTTTTAAGCTGTTTGTTTTAGCTTCAATTCTTTTTTCATCCTTTACATAATTTCAGAGTTTTAAAAGCTTCCCTGAGATTTCCTGGATGTTTATTAGATGTAAGAAGGAATAATATTGCTGAATATTTCAGTCAAACCTTATTTCAGTGCTGATGATCACATGGATTTCTGGGCTGGTTATGTTGGTGTTTAGGAAGCCCTGTGAGAATTTGGTGATAAAGGAGCACCTGTGGGGTGTGTGGGCCCAGAAAGGTCTGGTGGTGGTTAAATTCTGGTTTAAATAAAAAGCTTGTTGTAGCACAGAGCACACATTGCTACTTAAAAAGGCATTTTTCATAACTTCTGAAGGCAAGATCAAATAGAGTCAAGATGCTCCTGATTTTAAATAGCATCTCATTTTGGTTGCTGATTGTGTTGGTGGATTCTTGTGGAAAGTTATGTACTGCAAAGCTCTGTCAGTATTCACAGTGTACTTTTTCCAAATGAAAGTATCCTTACCATGGGAAATCAGTAACCCAGCTGATGGGAATTGATTGACCAAATATTGTGCTGGGTGGACTGCAGCTCCCAAGAACATTGCTGATTCCCCTTTCCCTTGTGCCTGGCAGCTGCCTTGGTTTGTATCTCAGCTGCTGAAAGGGGTAATTTCTACATGGCTAACTTAACTGTTTATTCTAAAGTTATCATTCTGCTTTTTAGAGCAGTCCTGAGCACCTCAGCAGTCAAATTCTGTTGGAATAAAACCGAATGGCTCAGCTGAGGTGTGTCCATGGCAGCTTGGCATCAGTTGTGGGCTTTCAGCAAATTTCTTGAACCTTTAACCAACTGATGTTCCATTAAACCTCTGTCAGACTACATCAGGATAGCACTGCCCAGAGTTATGTGTGTTATAACAAGCTTTAATAATTTTCTCTTTGTCAGAAACATTTGGGTTGCAGTGTTTTAGTTGAGGGCTGTGGAGTGCAGCAGGGCAGTGTGAGTGAATGAAGCCTGCCTTGCTGGAGACGTGCTGGGTTTGTTTTCTTTGTGTTTGGGAAAGCATAAACTCTAATAAAACTCTTCTGTGGCTGGGACACTTCACAAGGCAATTTCTGTGATTCCTTGGGTCAGATGTGTGCTCAGTGTCCTGGTCTGTCACATAACTGACTGCAGTGGAAGTTGGAGTTAATGAACCAATGCTGGTTACTTATTTTCCTTAAGCAAATTTAATCCAATGCTGATTACTTATTTTCCTTAACCAAATTTAATCCCATGTGCACAATGGCAATGGAGACAGCAGCAGTTATTCTTTCTGCTTCCCATCCCATGCTGGCCATCCTCAGTTTGCCCCTGGATCCTGCTAGGGCAGCCTGTCTGTCCCAGTCCTCCTTTGGAGCAGTTGGGTGTCGTGGTGAGGGACACTCAGCAGGGAGAACTGAAGGCACAAAACCCCTTTGGTTCCTTGCACCAAGGAGTTCAGAAGATTTTTTTCTTCTTTTCTTCCCTCCACTTTGCCACGCTTTAGCCAAAATCACCCTCACCCTGCTGGGCTAAGGCACAGGGAGACTGACTGCTGCACCTTGGAGACTTCCCTAAAACCAGCTTTTCCATGGCCCAGCCTTTCCTGTGAAGCCTTGGCCTGGCTTGGAGGTAACCAGCCAGTTTGTTTAGGCTGTGGAACATCCTTTTATGAAAAAGGTGAAAAAGTAAAACTAGTGCAGTATCTGCTGTAGAAAGTGAAAACCTTTTTTAGTTTTGGCTTATACAACAATACTAAAATTTCCTATTTCAAATTCTGATTTTGCTCCTGAGCTTGGTGTCTGGTCATGGTATTTAGGCAGGTGCATGTGGCTGGAAACAGGTCACTGCATGTGCTTTATCCATCAGGCATTCAGCTTGGTGCTACAGCTCTTGAGTTACAATTACTTAGAAATACAAGATAGGAGTGGTTGAACAGTGTTAGATGACCATTAAAAGTGCTGCAAAGCCTCTATGATGTGATTTAATGTAAAACCTCTTTCCTTCTCTCTGAGGTGCTGGGTTGGTGCAAAGTGCACAGGCTACAGCACAATGAGACTTTTAAAGCAATTTTGCTTTGTTATCTAGATAGAGGACAACAAATCTCTGCTTTTTCTTTCTGAGTGTTTTTCCATTTTCTGCTTCCCCTTCCCCAGTGATGAGCAGGCAAGCACACAAGCAGAAAATCTCCTTGAGGATCACCCTGGGCTGTGCCTATAAACCACTGATTCGAGGGGCGGTGTTTTGTTGTCCCAAAGCCATTTGGCTTTACTGCTGTGTGTTTATGATGCCAGGAGCTGGAGTGCAGCTTGGTTTGCCCAGGAGCAGGGTTAGGAGTGCACTCACCTCTCCATGCTGGCCACCTGCAGCAGCAGAGTCTGTCTGAGGTGCTCTCTGGGCTTGGAAGGAGCTGAGCCTGGGCTGGTTCAGGCACCTGCTCAGGATGAGCACAGGGACACCCTGGCTGTGCTGGCTCCTCTGGTCTGAGGATTAGTTTGATCAAGATGAGCTTCTCCTAAGACTTAAATAAATATATTATTCTAGAGAAAACTTGCCCTGTTTAGAAGACTAAAATGTCATTTCCAGCTAAAGGAAATATTCCTTTTTCTGCCTGTAATGAAAGGTTGATTTTTCAAGCTCCTCAGGCTTTGCTGTTCAAATCTGAACATAGTAATATGTGCTTTTTACCTTGCTGAGGGGAGCATTTGACTTGGTGCAAAACTGCATATTAAAAATGGAGCTGTTCACCAGTGTGTTCAGTATTTCTGTTATTTCACATCACTGTCTGATGAAATGTGATGGTTTTCTTTCAGGATTCCATATTTGGGACTTTCTGTTTAACCATGTTTGCCAGTCTGGAATTACCTGAAGTCCTGTTGCACACCCCACAACACTGAAGTTGTGAAATTTGTTTTGGTAGGTAAAATAAACACATGATGCATCTGAATATCTGTTGTTTTTATAAATTCTCCCCCTGCCTCTCCTCCCTGCTGTGTTTGCAGAGCTGGGCTGGCTCCAGAGCTGATTTCCACTTGGCCATCCAGGGTCAGGGGGATTTGCCACCAGGTTTGTGGCTGCTCCTCCCAAGGAGAACTGTTCAGATGCTTTACTTGTGTCATTCTTCTAACACCAATATTTGAAGTTCAAAATTACTGGAAGCCTGGCTAAGTTGTTTTAGAGGAAATTTTAATGCATGTTTATTTTTAGGTATTCTTTCATATTATAACCATGTTTATTCTCCTTGTGTTATATTGTTATATACACTTGTCTAGAATTTGTTTAAAAGTTTTGTTATATTTTTGTTTTGTGGGTTTTTGTTTGGTTTTTTTTTTTTCCCCCAAAGCCATATTATTTTAATCTTTGTATCATAGAATGGATATGGGTGTCTGGCTTTATTCATTGCTTGGGTTTAACAAGCTCTAAGATGGGCACTGGGCAATAAAGGACACAGCTGTAGGAGGATAATGCACTGTTACCCAATCTCCAGGAGAGACAGGGCTGTGATCAGGGTTTCAGGGGTTTATGGGTGTTGTACTTTAAACACAGCCTGTGTGTCAGTGCTTGTTACAGGTTTAATGAAAGCCACCCTCTCAGGACTGTTCTGGCAATGCTGAACCTCCTCTGTGCCATCATGAAAATCTCTACATATTTTTCTCACTGACACCTAACAGAAAACATTAAAGTGTATTTTCCAAGGCATCCTTTATTCCTGGTATTATTTTCTATTAAGTCACTTGAAAACCATTTTTCAGTGGCAGCAAATGCAACATGAATCCTTTGGAAATTACATTGCTACTGCTATCCCAAGCTTTTCCTCCTCACTCTCAATTCTGGTTTCCCCAAGGGGTTTGGCTGTACCATCATGTCTTTCCCTTCCATGTTGCAGCTTTAAATAATGGTCAGTGTGAAGATGAGGAGCCTGCTTAGTGCCAGCTTGTGCCATCTGCTAGTGAAGGGCATCCATCCACCCTTCCTTCTGCTCTCATCCTTCCCAATCTTTTGTGTAATTTGGGAGAGCAGTTGTTGAGATGTAGAGCATGGTTTTAGTGCTTTTCGTTTGTTTTGCATGAGTACAGGTTCTGATGTGACATCAGTTGTGAAAGTGTTCATTTTGAATGCATTAAAAAGCTTGGCAATCAATAGGCTGTGGCAGAAAACCTGGAGCAGGTGGCCAGACAAAGCCTTGGTTTGCCTGTGTGCTCTGTGTAGTGCAGTAGATAAGGGAAAGCAGGACAAGAGATTTCAAGTTTTCTTTAAGAGACTAATTGACATAAGTTTGGATCAGTTGAGTGAACTTTGGGGCAAAAATACCAAGGTACATTTGGATTTTTTTTCCTTTGTATTTTTTTTTCTCCCCAGAGACCAGAGCCCAGCACTTGCAGGTACTCCAGAGCCTACCAGCTTTCCCATGTGACAACTGGCTGTTTCAGATTTTGCTCTCACCCCATCTGTCCTGGGCTCTGGATGGGATTTTTCCAAGGCTGGCTGGGTTTGTAGTGCAGGCTGCCTGTCAGGCTGCTGGGGACAGCACAGGGCACAATAAAGTGCCTTGGGGCTCCCCAGGTGTGTGTGTGACCCAGCAGCCCAGGCCTCAACTGCAGCATCCTCTGTGCTGTGGGAATTCTCCCTCTGAGGAGCCTCTTTTGCACATGTTAGTGAGTTAGTTGTGTTATCCATGAGCTGAGTGTGCTGGGAGCTCCTGGCTGCAGCAGCCCAGGCTGTGCCCTGCATGCACCCTGTGCACACTCTGCTCTTTGTGGGCTCTTCTACCCCAGTCCCCATAAAACAATGCAGGTGAATTTTGACCATTTATCTGTTATTTGGCTGTACTGAATAAGTACAGTCCAATTAGACTTTTCTAAATCCCAAGGGACCACAGGCCTTGTTTCACCTGACTCAGAGAACCACAGGACCCACCTCTCTTACTTCAGTTAGATATTTTTAATAATTAGACTCTACTGAATAAGACCAACTTTATAATAAAGAGGCATAGCACTGGTTTTGTTGCTGTAGCCAGTTCCAGACCTGGTTTGAGGGTAAATGGTTGCCATGTGGTAGCACTGGACTTGTTCTGACTTTCCAGAAGCAATTGTATAATGGGAAATACTAATTTGGAAACTCTAAAGGAGCAGGAAGGAGGCCATGTGTGCTTTTGTTCCTGAAGTGTGCTGTGGTTGTGCAGAGCAGTTCAGGGGTGGTTCTCACTCACCAGAGACCCTGCATTCCCTGCTGGGAGTTCTGTTTAAGGGATTGTTGAATGAGCAATGTTTTACCTGGGTGTGCTTGTGCTCAAGGCTCTTTGTGTTTGTGTGGAAGAGTGCTGAGGGAAGGTACCTGCTGATTATGGGCAAGTGCTTGCTCAGGATTTATGGAAGCCAACCCTACAACCATGAGGTTACAGAAGTTGTTAGGATGCTCTGCAGCTGGGATTCATTTGCTCTGATATGGATGGTGTGCTGTGCACTGCCTGAAAAGGAAACTTTTGCAAATCATCACTTTCTCATGTCATACATGAGATAAATGATACCTGAGCATAGGAACAGACAAAAGTTCATGTGTTTTGGAGGGAAAGGCTGCAGATGAATGTAGCAGAGATCCTTGAGGAGCATAATGTGAAGAAAAAATGCAAAGGGAGCTGTAGCTATCTATATGTGCTCATCTGGGAGGTGAAATTTAAACCTTGGTCTTGGTTTGTTTCCTTCCCTCACAATATCCCTGTGGTTCTCTGAGTCAGGTGAAACAAGGCCTGTGGTCCTTTGGCATTTAGAAAACTTATTCAGTACAGTCTAATTATTAAAAATATCTAACTGAAGTAAGAGAGGTGGGGATAAACAGCCAAATAACAGATAAATGGTTAAAATTCACCTGCACTGTTGTGTGGGGACAGGGGGTAGAAGAGCAGAGTGTGCAAAGGGTGCCAGGAGCTCCCAGGCACACTCAGCTTCTGGATAAACAACTGCCCCACTAACATGTGCCAAAGAGGCTCCTCAGAGGAAGAATTATTATAGTGTTTACAAAGGGCAATAACTTCAACAAATCCTGTCAGATTTTAGCACATTCAGATGAGGTTCATGAAATTTGGTCTAAGTTGCAGCATTTTTATGAATGGTTTAAAAACCAGATTTAAGCAATCTGGGGATCTTCTGCTCTTTCACAGAGAAGATGGAGGCTTCAGACATCTCTATTAAAAAAAAGATCTGAAATGTTTGTGTTCTTGTAGATAAATTCTTATTTTTTTGGTGTTAGGGATTGTCAGGCACACTCACGTTTCTCGCTGCAGGTGCAACACCCCATCACCTCCAAAGAGTTGTACCTTTTCAACATGTAGGAGCCTGTATTTTGAGCTGAAATTTCTCTCCCTAAAAAATTTACTCATGATTTTCTGACAAATGACATTCTATGTAATTTTCCTCAGAATAGAGTGCTTATATTTCACAGGATGCTTGCCTCATGCCTTGCACAGAATGGCTGTGTTTGGCCATTAAAAAGGCCATTGGTGTAGGAACCTCAGCTCCACCCTCCCTGCAGTCAGTGGATGTGGAATGAAAGATGTAGGAATGCAGAAGGAGAAGGACTGTTCTCCTGGTTAGTGTAAAGCCAGCTTGGGTAAGAAGTTACCTGTCCAAGAAATTGTGTGAAAATCAGTTAAAACATTTTTCACACACTCCTATTACTTGTGATTCTCATATCTGGGCACCTAACATGAAACTGAGGAGTTTGCTTAAATGGAGGTGCCAACATCAGAGCTGTAATTTAGACACAAAGCCAAGTAACAAGGGAAAGAAAAGAGATTTAATTATCTCTGTGTTCACCTGGTAATGAATTTTTCAAATTTATTTCTCTATTGCCCATCTTTAAAGTTTCTGTGGCAATAATAAGTATATGAAAGCACTGTGGAAATAGATCAGTGCCTGTGAAACATTGAACTTATTTTCTGATGCAGGACTGCAGAAGAGCTTGTGAGACAAAATTTGCTTGGTTTTAATCTGAAATTTGAGGATGAAGGCTGCTGCTGCAGGATGAGAGAGAAACTCCACATGAAATAGGGGATTTTTCCTTAGTGCTGTTGGATTGCCTGGTGTGCAGTAGAGTTGAAGGGAGAAAAAAATCCATAATATTTTGTAAATGTAGTGAGTGTATGTGTAGAGATCTGACCAAAAGCAATGGGAATTTATGCCTTCAAGCCCCTGATTTTTCCTTTGGAATATTGTCCCTTCAGCAGCCCTGTGTGAGTGTGCAAACAGTGCAGAGCTAAATCTGGGCTTTTCTAACATTGTTAGATTATTGTATTAGAAAAGGCTGTTTTCTGGCCAGTATCTGCAGCTCATGTTTCATCTCAAAGCTGTGGTTTTGTGCTGGGAACTTGAACCTCTGCCAAAACCCCAATCTGTGTCCTGTTCAAGGCTGTGTTGTCCTGAGCTAAACCTTCTGGGTGATTTGTGCCAAACACCCACAGCTTTGCAGTTATGAGATCTTGACAGTGCTGGAGAATGGATTTGATTTTGACTGTGGTGGTCAGGAACAGGTCCCTTTTTTGGTTGTTTCTACAGGTGGTTTGAATCTTTTAGCAGCATTTGCAAAGTGCTGAGTGTTAGAGCAGATGTGTCACCTGGAAAGGACAGTGCCATTGCCCTGTGATGGAGTGGGAAAATGTGTATCCTGACATAGGATACACTGAAAGCTGAGGGATGCTTTTATCACACATTGTACTTCTAAGCTTCTACTACAGCTTAGATAAATGTCATAATGGCAAAGGTTATTGCAAAGTTTAGATATTTCATTAAGCAAGACCCATCAGGTGTGAGACTTGACTTCCTGAATTCATTCTTATCTGAGTGTGATCTGGGGGCATGGTGGGAGTTGTGGGCTGGGACAGGGGGAGCAGATTTCAGCTTGTTTTGTGCATGAGAAACTGAAAACACCTAAATCTTTACAAACTTTAGGAAAGTAGGCACAGTATGCCTGAGATTTAGCTGGGTGTGAGTAAAATATTTTTCAAATGCTACATTTCTCCTGGTAAAAACATGCTGTGGCTTTGCTACTGCTTTGGACCTATTGCATCTGCAGTCTCTAAAATTAAATTTGGTGGCTCTTGCTATCATTCTGTAATTCAGCTGTTGCTGTGAGTTTTAGCCTGGCACTGCAGCCTTGGCACCAGGTGCTTGCTTATCCCCTCTGTGATAGAGAAATGAATAAAATTCATTTCCCTCTGATTTTTTTATCCTCTGCCTTCCTTTCTGCCTGTCTGTCTTTTAGATCAACTGGAATACTTCTCAAGTGACGTGCAGCAGGATTCTGCCAGGAACCCCCTCCTGTTTGTCCTGGTGGAGGAACAGCCTGGCCCCTGCCATGGCCACCATTCTCAGCCTCACACAGCTGGACTCACAGAGCCCAATCCTGGCTCACCAGGTAGCTTTTTCTGTCAGTGACCAAATGTGCCATTGAAAGCAGCTCTTCATGTCCTTACCCAATGATTATTATATGAATTATAATTCTCTTTTTCCCTTCCAAGCATCACCTTGACGTCTGACAGGCTCCCATTGTTGGAAACAATGGTTTTGGATGATCTGCCTCACTTAAAAGACACATATGCCTCCTTGTGCTCCTCAGCTATGGAAGACTTAGAGGTGGATTTTGATTCAGGACTGGAGGAAGATGAACTGAAACAGGAGGCTGCTCCTGGGGATTCCACAATCTTTGTGGCTTTTAAAGGAAATATAAGTGACAGAGACTTTGAGCAGAAGCTGGATACCATACTGGAGAATGTGCCTGGCCTTTTACACATGGGTAATGTGCCTTCTTGTCACTTCCCAGCTGTCCTTAAAATGCTTATTTAGGTTCATAGCCTTATTTCAGGGTAGTTGCACAAAAATAGATGATATTGGGTTTGAGCAGCTTAGTTTGTAATGATAGTTTGTTGGGGTTATTCTTAGTGAATTTGCAAGCTGTTCTTCTCAGAAATGCAGACTGCAAGTGTCTGCAGTTGTTTTGTTGTTTAAAACTGATTTATTTGGCAAGTTCATTCATTTCTCTTCTGTTTCCACATTTCACCTGGTTTTATTCTCTTTCATGTCCCTCTATTACACATGGCTGTGTGATAAAAAAGTGAAACCAGGCTTGTTCACACAGGAGATGTTTTACTGCCCAAACTGTCTAATTGAAACAATTACAGTTCATCTGAGAATGGGTTCATTTTCCAATACCTATGGCATTCCTGCCCTTTTCTGACCTGCCCTATCTGATTGATTGATTGATTTGTGCTGGGGAATGGGCAGTGCCCTGACATAGCCCTGAATGCTGGGAACAGCTCCATGGCAAGTCAGTGATAACAGGATTTTGGGGCTTTTACCAGCATGTTTAAATCTGGAAAAAGACATTTGCATGTTGCCAAAGGTCCTGTGCTAATTACTGATGGCTGCTCAGTTAGGTAGCCTTGATTGTTTTCTTCAACAGTGTCAAACACTTTTTCAGGAAAATAACACAATACTTCTCAATAGCCAAACTGAATTTCTTTGTCACTTTATTCCAGTATTTCAATTTTGTCCATCTAGTCAGCTGGCATAATTTTGTTGGATTCTTGCTGTTGCTCAGAGAGATAAAAAAGCTGGGATAAGACAAAAATACTGTAAAGAAATACCAGTTTTGAGCTGTGTCTTACAAGCAGTTGGAAGGAGATGTAAACCAACAGACCATTACTGGTGTGAAGGGATGTTTGTAATATCACAGATCAATTGTGTCATTTTTGATATAAAATAAATTCAGTCTATAAGTGCACATAGTCATCTTTGTTATATAGAGGCATCTGCATGCTGAGTCTGTCATAAATATTAATGCCAGGATTAATAAACATGATTCAGACCTCAGCTGAGAAAGCAAATTTTTAAAATCAATGTCCAGTTAATTTGAAAATTATCCATGTGTGAAGTTATTTAAACTGATTCAGAGCAAAATAGGATATCCTGAATGCAGAATTAGTAAATAACCTGGGGTTATCTTGGCAGATGCAGTGCTTGAAAAATGAGAAACTTGGGTACAAATATATAGAAATACTGAAACTGATGATACAATTTTTCTATGTAAAATATTGGAACATTAATAGCAGAAAATATGGGATTGTTCAAATCTCCACAAAAGGGGATTTTAAAACTCCTCCTGCCATGTTTCCAGCCAAAACCAGGTTTATAGGTAGAATGAGGATGAATTTATTAATTCCATTACTGTAGCAGCAAAAGGGGCTTGGTGAATTAGTGGTGAACAAGAGCTTCCTAAATAGGAGTGAGTGGTGGCATTCTTAATTAACAAGTTTTTCAGACCTCAAAAGTTAGCAAATGTTTAGTAAATCTGAGGTCACAGTGGAGGAACTGGCTGATGAAAATTTGGGTCAGTGCTTTCTGTTTTGAGAGGAACTTTCTTTACAGAAAAATAGAAACTGAAAACTTATAAAGCTATATTGGGAGTATTTTTAAAATCATCCTTAACTGCATTTTGTAGGTAGGTAGCACTTTGGATAATGTATCCAACATAACTGCCCAACCTTTCTGCAGCTCCTGTGAAAACCACTGATCCATGTAGAAACGCTCATGTGTAGAACAGGTGTTCAGAAAACCTGCAAGTGAATATCTTGCATGACTTTGAGATGCTTTTTGGCAGTGGATTTGAAATGCTTACCCAGAAAACTAAATGATAAGGTAGAAATCAATGAAATATTGCTAGGAGTCTGTTGGCACTGGTCTTGTAAAAAAAAAAAAAAAAAAGAAAAAAGAAGATGTTTCACAAGCACTTGTAGAGCAAATATTTGAAGCATTTCATTCCTGTAGTCAGTTTTTTCCCACATTCATCTGGTTCACAAAGCAGACCTGTACAGGTCACTGTCCTGTGACACAGGGCTGGAGCCCTCTGCTGTGGGACAGGCTGGCAGAGCTGGGGGGGCTCACCTGGAGGAGAGGGAGCCTAAAGCCTTCCAGGGCCTAAAGGGGCTCCAGGAGAGCTGGAGAGGGACTGGGGACAAAGGGTGGAGTGCCAGGACAAGGGGCCATAGCTCTAAGATGGAGTGTAGATTTTAGATGGGATATTAGGAGGAGATTGTTCCCTGTGAGGGTGGGCAGGCCCTGGTACAGGCTGTCCCATCCCTGGCAGTGCCCAAGGCCAGGCTGGCTGGGGCTTGGAGCACCCTGGGATAGTGGAAGGTGTCCCTGCCATGGCAGGGGGTGGGATGAGATGGGCTTTAAGGTCCCTTCCAACCCAAACCTAATACCTATAATTGTATGAAATCTGTTTTGTTAGATATTTTCTTATCTTTCCAAAGTAGTTTATCCACAGAATATTTCAGTTTTTAAGCAATACTACAAGTGATTCTGTTGTCTGTTGCATTGGTTGTCATTTGAGTAGTTTTTTTACTGCTAATTTTTTGGAAAATCCCTGTTTTTGGGGTTTGGCAGCATTGGTTGCTGTATACCTGTGTGAGGAAAAATCTCCTGTACCTGAGACTGAGCACTGGCAATTTTCAAAGCCAAATAGGGTTTCACTTTTTTCAACCTTCTAACCAAGTTGTTTTATCAGATGTGCTTATAAACTGCCTTTGCACTGACTCGGATTGTTTTTCTCCTAAGAATCCAACAAGTTGAAAGTGCAGAAGATCGAGCCATGGAACAGCGTCCGTGTCACCTTCAACATCCCCCGCGAGGCGGCCGAGCGCCTGCGCATCCTGGCCCAGAGCAACAACCAGCAGCTCCGAGACCTGGGCATTCTCTCCGTTCAGATTGAAGGTATTTCACACCTCATCTGCTTCCAAAGCTCACATTTAACTAGACTAAAAAGCAGTTTTGTGTGTTTGGTTAGCGCTGCAAAACTTGTCGTTGCTACTTTGGCTTTAGTGAAAAAGATAGCTCAGGATTTTTATTCTTTCAAGAATAACATTTACTAATAATAAAAATGAAAGCTGGAACTGCTCTGGGTACCAGGAACCTGTCCCATTCTCAGCTTTTTTTGATGGCCTAGAAAGGCTCGGGATAGCCTTGGGGCAGCCCGCTCCCCAAAGGACGAAAGGAGCCTTCAGGTTTTTTCGGTCTTCAGTGTTTATTAATTTTTTATCTACAATATCTTCACTCGGCCCGACAGAGGTCCGCACAGCACGTCAGCCATGAGCACACTGCGTGCCCTCGGGGCGGTCAGTTATCTTTATACCCAAAATTACGTATAAGATATTTACCTTTTCCCCCTAATACCTTTCACCCTTATTGACAAGTGTGCCTTTAGTAAAAACCAATCCCAAAGTGCCACCACCACCACAGAAGATGGAAGACAAGAAGAAGAAGAAGAAGAAGGACAGGACACACCCCAATTCCTCCATTTTGTCTCCCTAACACCCCCCTGTAGTGAAATTCTAAACCCTGTGTTTCACACCATAACCAATCTATCTCTTCACCATTTATCCCCTGTGATTCTCCCATCCTCATACAGGTGATGTTTCCTGTGCTGGGTCAAAGTCCAACCACCAGACACTTCTGGCCACGTTCCAGGGCCTCCGAGCCCCCCAAGGGTTGTCTTGGTGTCCCTGCACATCAGGCCTGCTGTGCTGAGATCCCACAGAACCCTCCTGAAAAGTGTTGTCTGTGTGTTGACTGGGAAAGGGTTGGCTGATCTTCTTTCCCTGTTGTTTCATATGAGGCTCTCTTTAAGATGAGTTTTCAGTGGCTTTCATAGTTAACATATGTCACAGAGAAAAAATGTGGGCCTTTGTCGGGGATGAGTCATTTGCCAGTGAGGGGAGACTCAGACACTCCATATGAGTGATAAGCAAATTCTGTTTATTGAAGAGAGCATCAGACACTTATACAGCAAGTAATAAGCTTATGAATATTCTGTAAGCTAAGCAATCTATTGGTTAAACTATACCATCAACTCTTCTTCATTCCTTAGGGGGGTTACATGTCTCTTTTCTCATGCCTCTTTCACTGTTTGTTATCCTACCACAGCTAGGCCCAAGGACACTGTTATCTTGCAGGTGCCGGACTTGGAATTAGCCATGGTTTTGTACTTTTCCATTTTCTAGCAGCTAAATTCCCAACAAGCATATCCATTCTGGACAGTTGTCCAGGAGCACCCTCAGGATGGAATCAAGGGCAGGCAATGCTTGTCAAGACATTTGTTCTTCTTAAAACTGCAATCCAGAGGAGTGCTGTGATGTGCAAGTGTCCTTCTAAAGCACGCCCTGGAGGTGAAGCCTGTTCTTCCTTCCTCGACATCACTTAAATGTCCTTTTGCAAAAGCCTGTTCTGCCTTTCTGTTTCTCCTGTTCACCCAACCTGTGCCTTGCTTTAGGGGAAGGTGCCATCAACTTGGCTTTGGGCCAGAGCAGGAGCCAGGACGTGCGGATCAACGGGCCCCTGGGCGCGAGCGCGGCCATGCGCATGGACACGGCGTTCCCCATGCAGGGGGGGCAAGGTAAATCCCACAGCTGCTGCTGCTGCTTCACCACCCACACGTGCTGCTGGCATCCACTGGCTGCAGCAGCTCCTCTTTGCACAGCTCTGATTGCCATTTCTAGGAATGTCTGGTCCTGTTCCGTGCTGTCAAACCGTGTCCTGTGTTATGTCAATGAATTGTTGGGTGCGTTGTGTCCCACAAACGTTGGGGTGATTTTGGTTTGTTTTCAGGTATTGAGAGGGTGTGGTGGTTTGGGGTTTTGTTGGGTACTTGGTTTGTTTGGGGTTTTTACATACAGTCTATTGAAGCAGATGAGTTGGGTTTAGTGAATTCACTTTGAAATATGCACAAATTTTCAGAGTGTTCTGCTTGGTTCCCTTTATGGAAATGTGCAAAAGTCTTGATTCAGTGTACAGTAAACTTAGATTAAATCCATTAGCATTATGGGAAGGATGGGACACTGTAATTGTTACTCTCTTCTTATGTTCTGGTAAACTTTTGAGATCTGCCCCTAAAGAAGGGATTTTTGTGGAAATGTGTAGTTTTTAAACTATATTTTAGAGTATTGTATACTCATAAGGAATTTTTAACTACAAAACTCAAATTTGACAAAGAATTTTTTACAAAGAAAGCTACTATCTAATTTATTAAAATAGCTGAATCATAAGGCAGCATAAATAACTAATATTTTAGTCAATGGAATTTAAAGCAATTAAACCAGGACCATTTTTAGTCAGTTTATGTAAGATGCATTTGTGGCCGTTGAGGAGAAGGAATGGAAAGAACATTTCAGCTTTGTAGAAACCTAATTAAAAGTAGTGAAATTTTTGTCCTTAACAAGGACTAAAGCATTTTGAAGAAGGGCTCTACTCTCCACTGTCAGCATCAGTGTCTTCATTTCCTGTCTGCAGGTCAACAACAAAACAGCAACAGAACCAACAGGGCAACAGTAGCAATCATTTTAGAAAATTACAGCCTGTGGAAGTGAAACATTGAAATTTTTTTTTTCTTCTTGCAACACCTCAGTTACTTTCTAGTTTCAAATGTTGCAAAAACCTGAGTTACATATGCAGCTTTGATACAATCTTGTCACTTGGTGCTTTCAGCGGTAGATCAGGCTCACATTAATTCATGAGTCAGTGGTGTTCTCATTTGTACTCTTTTTGAAAATTTGGTGTTAAAGACCTCCAGCATGACCTGAACTTGTTTGTTTGATAGCAGGGAATCTGAGCTTTCAGACAGAGAGGTGTATCCTCAGGTTACTTTGGACAAACAATTCCTGAAGTCTAAAGAATTGTTTTACTGACAAATATATTTTTTTCTTGTTAAAAGAAAAATTCTAAAATTCTTCTCTATGTAACTGCAAGACTTGATGATTTCTATTTTTATTTTTTAAGGTTTAATAAGAATGAGCAATGCAGCAGCTGTCATGATGTCCCAGGGTGGAAATGTGCCCTCCTCTATGGTGGCAAGTGGTGCTAGTGCTGAGCTGCAGCCACGAACACCTCGGCCTTCCTCACAGCCAGGTGGTAAAATTTAATACTGATCTGAAAAAGTTCTTAAACTTTGATTCTTCAGCACACAGGCTTGAGTGTGTACTCATGAGAGTACTCCAGGATTGTTCTGGAGCATTTTCCCTGCCTTTCTGGGAGCTACTCTTTCTGTGAAAACCTCCCTTCCCCCTTAATCTGTGAATTTTTTGCAAATAATTTGGGTGCCTAATAAGTCACCAGCTTGCTTGGTGTTTTGTTCAAATCTGTTGAGCAATGGCAATTGTATTTTTGCACTTGAACTGTCATGACTGATCTTTATGTGTAGCTTGAAGGTAAGAGAAGGATTAGTTCAATGAGGTAGGAATATTTGTGGTGCTCTTCTTTCCCTTGTTTTCTGGAAGGGTAGATAGACTGGCAAGTTAAGGACTGGGGGTCTGGTGGGTGTGAATGTTTGGGGGTTGTTCTTCACAGCTTCCCCAGGGAAGCAGTCAGGGCACTCAGCCTGACAGAGTTCAGGGAGTGTCTCAATGATGCTCTTTGTCCTGTGGTTTAGTTTTAGGTGATCCTGCCAGGAGCAGGGGTTTGGACTCAATGGTCCTTCCAGCTGAGATACTCTGTGGTTCTGCAGTTCTGAGTGTGTAGAAGGCTCACATCAGTCTGTAGCATTGTGGGGCTGCTGTGCTTTATTTTAGAGGCTATAAATTGATAAGACCAGGCTTCTCTGGAATATGAATTTTTTTATGCAGAGTAAGAAAATGCAAGCAAGCAATTTAGCCTTTGCTGTTTTGGGATGGGTTTTGTCTACAGTAGGGTTTTTTAAAAATTATTTTTCTTTGCTATTTTATTAGATGCAATGGACCCACTCTTATCTGGGCTAAATATGCAGCAACAAAATCATCCATCTGGATCTTTAGCTCCTCAGCTCCATTCAATGCAGTCAGTTCCTGTAAACAGGCAGATGAACTCAGCCAACTTCCAGCAGCTCCAGCAGCAGCAGCAGCTGCAGAATCGGCCTCCTCAGCCCCATCAGCAGCCACCACAGGGCATCCGACCTTCATTCACCTCACCAGCACAGGTTCCAGTTCCCCCTGGCTGGAACCAGCTTCCTTCTGGAGCACTCCAGCCTCCTCCAACCCAGGGAGCACTGGGCACACTGACAGTGAACCAGGGCTGGAAAAAGGCCCCATTGCCTGGACAAATGCAGCAGCAGCTTCAAGCAAGACCATCTCTAGCAACAGTACAAACTCCTACCCATCCTCCACCTCCATATCCTTTTGGAAGCCAGCAAGCTTCTCAGGCTCACTCAAACTTTCCCCAGATGAGCAATCCTGGCCAGTTTACTGCTCCTCAAATGAAAAGCCTCCAGGGAGGGCCCTCGCGGGTTCCTACCCCGCTACAACAGCCCCACCTGACCAATAAATCTCCTGCTTCTTCTCCCTCCTCCTTCCAGCAGGGCTCCCCTGCCTCATCTCCCACTGTTAACCAGCCACAGCAGCAGCTGGGACCAAGGCCTGCCCAGAGCAGCACTCTTCCCCAGGGCTTCCAGCAGCCTGTCAGCTCTCCCAGTCGTAATCCTATGGTGCAGCAGGGGAATGTACCCCCCAACTTCATGGTGATGCAGCAGCAAAACCAAGGTCCACAAGGTTTACACCCTGGTTTAGGAGGTAAGAAGCACTGAGACCTTCATTTATTTTAAAAGGAAAAGAAACATAAAGTCTAGAACTAATATTGCTGTTAGCTCTGAAAAGATCCTTGATGAGACAGAATCAACAAATAGGTGCAGTGTGAGGTGGGTGCTGGTGAAGGAGCATCCACATCACTCTGTCTCTGTCCTGCAGTGTCACAGAGATGCCCAAAGGGTCAGGGAGGAGTTGCTGTGTGCACTTATTACTGCCAGTGGTCCTGCTGACAGCTCTTCTGTTGCCTTTAAGCAAGCTTAGGGTGTTCAGAGATGGTGTGGGGATTTTGTTTAGGTTGGGATTATTCTTTTGGGGGGGAAAGGGAAGGATTTTTTGCAAGAGTGTAATGAAAACACTTTTTTTCTCTCTTCACCTTCCTCTGTCACCATTTACATTTTCTATTACAAAAGTGAAGCATTGTTTTGCATCTTCCTTTCTAAGCTGTGGATGCTTCTTCTTCACCCTGTCTTTGTCACCAGTTTCTTCCTATATGAAGAGGAAAAAGCTATTGTTGCCATGCTGTTGTACTCCCTATCCTAAAATTAAGATGTTAAGGGAGGTTTTAGTTTCTCATTTGGCTGTGTTGTCTTTAGTTTTCTCTTTGAACCAATGCACTCACTTCTTCTCCTTACTACTCCTAGAGTTCTTCTCTAACATTGAAGACATTTCTTTTGTCAGTCCCAGGATCTCTTTTGTGTCCTTGGCTGTTTTTTTGCCCTTGAGCCCTTTGTATTTCCATGCAGATTTTCCATGCTTCTCTTTGCTCACTCATTTGTTCATCTTCCTCTTGGATGGCTGTTCTCATGTCCCATACATCAGTTCTTGCTTAAACCTTTGAAATTATTTCTTTGTGTGCTTATGGCTCATATTCTTTGTCCACTCTCACACACATAAGTACATTCTAGTGTCTTGCATTCTCATGTTGTACATCAAAATCTGTCCAAACACTGAAAGGAATTCCTGTTTCTTGGTCTACTGATCTGGACAAGCTTCTTGTTTTCAGTGTTTGTACCATGGGTCTTGTTTGAATTCAAATGAATTTTCTGTGTTTCAAGGTTCTCTTGGGATCTGCCAGTGCCCTACACTTGGTGTATCTCATTTTGTCTCCATCTGGAAGCAGTTATTCATTATTTATTGTGGTCACATTTCCCTACAGTCTTGCCTCACCAGCCATATGTCCCCATCAGAAATCTTAGCCTTGACCTTTAGCCAGAATAATCTCCATGTTCTGCTTCCTAACTAAACCTACTACAAACAAACCTCAGTTTTTCTGAGTTAAGAGTCGCACCAGAAATAAACTATCAAAATATGTTATTTGGACTTATTTTAGACATTATTGCTAAATCAACAATCCTGCTGTGAGCTGTATCCTCAGGTGATTTTAAAAGACAGAATTCCTTGGTTTCAGCAAAGCTGTGTTGCTCCCACTGCTGAGATTTTTGCCTGACTTCTCTGCATGCTCATTCTTTGTTGCAGTTTATATGTTAATTTGTCATTATAGACCTTTCCATTTTTAAGCCACCTTACATTTAAAGGTTTGGTGTAAATGAATGCATTCAAACACTTTGCATTTCACACAGCCAATTTAGCAAATTGGAATTTATATCACATTTGGAATAGGCCAAGCTAACACTTTATTTTTTTCTCAGTTCAAGCATTCTTACATTGAATACATCAATAAAAGTTTAGCAGAACCAAAGCTGGAGTCCAGTGATGTGATGCTTTAATAAATCTGTTTCTGTGTTTGCAGATATATTTGGTGTTTGGCCTGTAGATTTGATTACCTTGAAATATTAATTGCAACCTAAGACCAGATAATTAGCACAAGCAGCAAAATTAGGTGTGCAAGGAAGCTGTAAGTGCAGAAGGAATTGAGGTCACATTCTGGCACTGGGTCAGGAGAACAAAGGGGGCAGTGGGCAGGGTTGGTTCAATGTCTGAGGCACTGTGTGGACAGTGAGTTAAATGTGGGATCTCTCAAACCCACCCCCACTGCTGCTCACACTGGCAGGTAGAGGGGAGCTTTTCCTCTGTGTGTGTCCCTGGGCAGCAGGGATGTTGGGATGTGCCAGAGTGTGGCTCTTGTGCCTCATGAGGGCCTCAAAGAATTCCTTGCTCTTGCAGCAGGGATAGCAGAGTTGCTTGAATGAGCAGCAGGTCTGGACCTCCTGAACCGTGGGGTTCCTCAGCACACTCTGGGTTGGAAAGACCCTTGGAGTGTGTGCACACAGCAGCACTGATAAGGAGTGTGTGCCTGGTGTGTCAGAGTTGGTGAGAGGAGCACATCACTAACAAGAATACCAGTTCTCTCTGTGTGTGTACATTGAATAAGTTAAGGGTGTGCTAAGAGGTGCAGTAGAGCAGAAAGCAACAAACCACATTAATGTCTAGTTTCTATAAGGTCAAACGTGGACTTTTCACCTTTTCTGGGTAGTAAGTTTTGTACTTTAATAATTGTTTGAAATTAGTCATAGTAATTTGTTAGACAGAATTGTTGCACAGGTAAGAGCTATAAACGTCTTCAGTGGATTTTGTATATTGGCAAAAAACCATTTCTGCCTAATCCTGTCATATGACAGCACAGACTCAGAGCTATTTTCCAATTTCAGTTCTAGATTTTGTCTATTTTTCCCCTCCCATTTCCCACACAACTAACCAGGCAATTCTGTGTGTTCAGGAATGGCCAAGCGGCTGCCGCCGGGGTTCCCTGCAGGCCAGGCCAGCCAGAGCTTCCTGCAGGGCCAGGT